TGAGTTTAAAAAAGAAGAGTGATAAACCGTGATTATATGGGGCAGTTTTCACAAGTGACCAAAATAAACGGCTACGAGGTGAAGGTTCGGCCGAACAGACGGAGTGCGTAAATATCTAATGCGGACAAGGAAAGAAGTTTAGTTGTGATTGTGTTAACGAAACTCTGGAGAAAGCTCAAAGCATCTCGTCGACCGCAACTGCCCTGCTGGACGCCCACATAATCCTTCTTTCTGATACCACATATGACAATGCGCAACTCCTTTAAACGGCAGCTCATCGAGAGTTTAAGGAATGACCGAGAGAATTAGTGGATAGGAAAGTGTAGAGAGATGGAGAATGCTGCGGCTATTGGTAGTAATCGCACTCTTTTCCGTCTAAGTAGGAATACGAGTTCCAGGAAATAGGTGTAAGTGAGGTAATTCGAGAGTCCGATGGTACACTGATTCGTCATCGTCTTGATCGATGGGCTTCGAGGCTCAATTCAACTGACCCCCATCGATATCAAAACTATCACCCCCTACTTCGACTGGGCAAATAATCCCAGTTGATGTCAGTCCCCCATCTGAAATGGAGGTTTCGCGGGAAGTAGTTTATCTGAAAAGGCATAAGGCCCAGATGGACTGTTCCCGTCGGCTTTTGAGGATAGAGGATCAACCCAGTTCTTGGAGTTGACGAAAGTCTCGGGCTCGGTATGGGAGAGGGAACAGGTTCTAGCTGAATAGTGTCAATGGGTCATCTTACCTATTTACAAGAAAACCTCAAGGGAATTAGTTCAATCCAGATTGTCTCGCTGGCATTATACTCTGTCGCACATGAACATTTAACGCGTAAGAATTAGATTGGCTCCGGACCTAGTTGAGGTTATATTGACCTCATTTTCACTCTCCGCCATTCCTTTCGTGGACCCACCGCTTCTATTTTCCTAGATGTGAAAGCCTCTTTTAACTTAGTCAATCGCTCTATACTCTGATGCTGCCTCTCCCTGAAGGGTGTGCTCGAGAAGTTTATCTCAGTTTTACGATCTCTGCTCGTATACCGGATACTTGAATTCGAGCTTACGGCACTTTATCCCTCGAGTTCACCACGGAAGGCGGTGCTCGTCAATCATTCCCTCTCACTTCCCTTATCTATTTGACTTCGCTATCTATTTGATTCTGGTCCTCGTGCGAGGATAGTGACACTGATTTGCTCCCCTGTGACAAACAGTCTCGTGGGAAACATGCAGACAACATTATACCGCAAAGTGAAGATCCAAATGAGTTACAAGCTTTTCTGAACAGTTAGAATGCTAGTTTAGTTCGGCATGCGTTTTGCACCTTCAAAGTGTAAAATGTTGCTGCAGGACTGACTGGGTTGGTACAGCTTCTAATCTTCACTTTCTATTTGGGAAAATATTGGATCAAGTGGACAAATTTTGTTTTTGGGTGATATTTCTGTCATAGCTATATACCACCCAATAAACACATCACGGATGAAGTTTCAGCTCGCATACAACTTGATATGTGTGACGTTGCTGCAACACCCGGCTGTCCGCGAAGGTTCTCAGCATTGCAATCTTCCCTCTATTTAAAAATATCCTAATTGCAGCCAAAACGGCCGCACTAAGGTGCATGGTTATTGGTTGTAAAACTGAAACAGGCAGTTGCTACCGTCATTAGTTTGTTCTTTGGATTTCGCCTCATCGGTATTTTTGTCTAACTTATGCTCTTCCATCCTTTACACAGTCAAGTATCTGTCAATGATAGTCAGTTTTTCTTTTCCCCGAACTATTACTCCCATCCTCTATGTTCCCTTCTAATTGCACTCTTCGATTTATCCAACAAAACATCAGTAAACCGTCTTACGTAAATACCCTCCAAACTTCCTTTCACAGTGTCTTTTCATGAAGCAGTTCATTTTATCTAAAATAAAACTTTCTAAGTTTTCATAGGTATTCTGGCGTTTTTTCCACCGGGTAATTTTCTTCATTTGAAATCTGAATAAAGCTCGTGTTTTTCATCTCAAACCGCATGCATTTCCATCGATCTCTTTCAGCGAATCAAATTATTACACATCTTCCCATGGCTACGTTACATCACTCAGAGTCGCAAGATGTTCACACACCGAAAGATGATAATATAAACCCGAACGATCTACTGCCTGTCGGTGTCCCGCTACACGCGCTCGGGTCAATCGAGAGTCAGGACGGTCTTAGTCTGACACGTCAGGAAATCAACCGTCTTATTTTGGAATATCTTGTGGTCGAAGGCTACAAGGATGCGGCAGAGAAATTCAGCCGAGAAACCGGTATCACGGAACCGTTGACGGAGATGCGTATTTCCGGGGAGAGTTTGGTTGATCGAATGTGGATTCGTGAAGCGGTCCTGAGGCGCAATATAGCCGATGTGATTGAGAAAGTGAACACCTTATGGCCGGAGTTATTTGATAAAAACCCGTTTATCTACTTTCAAGTACGTCATACTGTTTGAGATCGATGTGATTGTCACTTACGTGCATCCGAGTTGGAAATCTTGTAACCGGTATGCAACTTTGGTAGCAGGTAGATTTGCTGTGACTTCAAGTTCCAAGGCCTTCGGTAATTAAACACAATTATATGATTCACATTTACACTCTTCGTCGCATAGAGATGTATGCTTAAATCATTACAAACTCGCCGTATCCAATTGATGCTTCTAGATCTCGAACGACTTCAGCGAGATACAATGAGCATTGCATTCGCTTTCGGAAATGGTACGGAGACTTGTTTTTAATGGCAGAATGTGCTTCTGGCTCGAATTCTTTCGGTTCTCGGTCTTTCCACTAACCGACAAGAGAGTTTTCGGTTTCAGTTTGAACAACAAGCAACCTTGGTGTTCCGTACTTGGTTGTTGTCTTTCTCCTGCTCATCTGGTCGATTAGGGAAGAAAAGCCTACATCCTAGTTTATAGTCCAACTATAAATGAACTGTTTTCAACCGTTGCTTGTTTCTGACAACATCACACCCAGGTAAACGCCATCCAGTAGCATGTTACAACAACAACTGCAGTTCGAGGCGATCAAGTACTTGCGTTAATGTTTGACCGGCACTACCTGGCGCTCTCACTCTGACCTCAGTATTACTCTTTTGGTTGTCTTACCAAACTCGGCGTAGACAGCAGCTCCCAAACACCGATCATGTTCGATCCTAAACGTTACCATTATACCTCTACCGTGATGCAGAATTTTCCCCGCCATTCATAATTTGAGGGCTGTCGGGGCAACCCCGAAGATGCCCCAAGTAGTCAAAGGTCAAACTGGATTTCTGCATGCCTGTTGACAGGTGAGATATATCTATCGAATGAGCAAAATTTGTTTACCTTCAATGTTATCTCGCACTCCCTTCCGGTTATAGTAAGCCTGTGTCCTACCGGTTGATAATTCAATAGATCAGGTCTGATTAATACAGCGCAGTCTCAAAAGGAAACTATTGATCACTAAAATGAATAATTGTTCGGCCACAGTGATGTTTTAGACCCCAACAAATCCTGTTGATTCCACACTTCTCCGAAAGAAGACGTCGGTTCACATCACTCGGTTTATTTCAGCTGGTCGGTTTTCACCGCATTAGTTATCTCTATTCTGTTTACAACCCGGCTTGTTAGAATAAATGAGGGAGGTATGTAGCAGCGCACATGAATGGGTGACTGGTGTTTGTGTGTTATCCGTGGGCTCATATCCCTACTAAGAAGGTTAGAAATAATGTGGGACGACTGTAGTTCGGGATGCAGCTATTCGTGCTGATGAATTCTCTAGCCTGGAATTGTTGTTTGCAGACGTTTCATAGACAAAACACTGATGATAAACGTCCCCAAACAACACTTCCAACTCGAGGGATATGCCAACATCCAAAACCATCAAGAAGGTAAAGCAACGTTATGGTCATCAACCGCGTGGTTCATCTTTTGAACGCAGGTGATCGTGTCTCTACCACCGATTGATCCGTAGCGTAAGTATACACATTCTTTTAGTTCCTCATCGACCAGTAATCATATCACTGAATTTTTCCCTGGTCCTGGCGCATACTCTAACCCGGAAATATGCTAGCACTCTAACTCAGTTAATCGACTTTCGACCAAGGTTTGCTCTGCGTTGTGGTCTCTACGACCGACAAGCCTCTGTCGAATTACTTTACGTGGCCTTTTTCCAAACCGGTTACTGTCCGTTATTTTCGTTTTACACTCTAGACTTTTAACGTTGTTTACATGTTTTGTAAGCTATCATCTACTGGCGTTTATTACAAAGTTTGTCTGTAATCAACCAAGATGGGGATACAAAAAACTTGAAAAACAAGCCTCTGTCGAAATTACGCTAACAATACACTTTCCAGTAGAGAGGANGAGGAAATGAATTGTGGAATTGTCGTCCGATAACCTAGGCAAACTCATAAAAGAAATAACAAAAGATGGCACTTTTTGAGGACCGATTTGTCAGGTTTATTCCTAGATGCTCCACGAGTACGCATATAGTTCAACTGATCGAAGTGTACATGATACATCATTATGATTGTCACATTACATCCGCAGTCGTTGGCTTCACATCACTATTCATTCGGCATTTCTCGAATGCAAATCACGAGTTCCGTGATTCTTTCCCCGCATGCCCGGAATTCTGTTTTTCTCTTCTCTACGCATCCAATTTTACTCATAACCGAAACAGCTCCGGCAATTGCAAATGCTGGAACTAATCCGCAATCATAAACTGGAAGATGCCCTGATATTCGCTCAATCCTACCTGGCTGACCCAGTTGCGAAAAGACTTTCCGACCATCCGCAACTGCTCAACGAGATGCAGAACACAATGGCTTTGTTGGCATTTGACGATCCAGCTCAAAGTATATACGGTCGTCTTCTGGGACCGCAACACGCAGAACTCGTGGCCGGTGCTTTGAATCGGGCCATTTTACGGCATATCGAAGCCTCAGGTGATGACCTGGACGGAATAGATGAGAGCAAAGCCACCGGTACTACAAGCACGACCGGCTATTCGGGCACATCTTCCACTGTACCCCGANACCAAAATGATGGCCATGTTGTTGCATTTTCGTGACTTGGCTCAATTGGAACTGCCTCCTGAATTGTCGTCTTTGTGAGTATATATGTGCTTATGCTCTCAAATTGTGTATTACCAGCGCCTGATTTCTTTGTTCATCAGTCCTGGTTTCAGTTGCACAGCGACAAAAACACAGACTGACGATCAATCATTTTAGTATCACCACGTATGATAACATGACGGGAGAAGAGATTTTGTCTCCTCATGGGATTATTCCACTTTGTAAATGACGTTCACTTTCCCCTTTGTTGCTGTGACAAACGCGATGCGCTGGAGATCTCATTCCCCCCTGTATCGCCTTCATCTGTTCTCACTTGCTTGTCTCTCAGCCAACACCATTCACTTCATGCCTCGTCCTTAATCACTTTCATCGCACACCTGTCAAGAAAATAAAGGTTTGATTGTGTCCTTTTTTGAGCAGTTCTCGTTTGTGAGTGATGACTTGTCCGGATTAAAACAGTTTTTCCGGGCGGTGGAAGCCTGTCATATCGAATTCAAGCTCTCCATCATCGACAGCACATTTCGACGATGGCAGAGGTGCTGTTTGGACTCAGTGTAATACCACACGCCTAGCACCCACATTCCCGTTTGTCGACTATCGTTGCCTCTGTGAGATTTAACTTTATTACTGTTACTGCTACTAAGATATATATATATATCGCCATTTCGGCGTTTGATACAAAAAGAAGGATTAATTGACGAAAATCATCAGAATTAGGTGGCGTTAGTTCCCCTTTGTTTGACACTGAAGTCGACATTGTACAAAAGTAATCTTTACAAGAGCGATTCAGTGTTAGGTTTACGTAATCCATTGGCGCGTCCTGTTTCAGTGCAGTTATTCAAGCTCACCGCAGTGATTGGTCCACATGAAATTCGTTCCCCCGTCCGCGTTGTTTATGAATGCGAGGAAGAAACCGAACCCCTGAGAAGCGAATAACGTCTGACAAGCGCTTTAGTGTGCAAAGCCATAGTGGAACTTCTTTTGGTTTGGGGGAACCTGATGAAGGAGCTGAACGGTACATAACTGACGAGCGGTTTCTGCTTGTCAACCACTGTACTCAAAATGCATGCTGGTGCATTCAGAAAGACCACTGCCTAGAGGATAGTAACAATAAATCCTTTGTTTCCCTCGGCCTCAGTATGGTTAAAGGTGGGTGTCTTGGGTCATGAATGGTCACGCTTCCACGAACAACCGCCTCAGATAGCCTCTGCTGAGGAAGCCTTACCCACTGCCTTCAAATGGTAGTGTTTTTTCATCAAATTGGGAGGACAAAAAGCCACCATCCGGGTCCGTGGATCATCAGTAGTTCACCTAAAGGGAGTTGGTCAAAAAACCTTGATTCCTAACCAACCAAAAACAGACACACGAGCCGCATATCCATACCTTCCTGGTGATGGAATTCATCAACGGATTGATGGAGCATCGAGGTGTTTGGGTACCCTGGACGTTTGGTCCCGCCCACTGAGCGTATGATCTGATAAACACCGGCTCCCAATGGATGTCGGCTTTCATACACCACCCTGTTGCCTTGATGGTTACGCTTTGATTAGGTGAAGGTTTCGGTTGTGAATTCAGAAGAGAATTCACTTGCTTTGGCCTCGCAGCATTTCACCTAATTTTACACTGTTATATAAGGGCTATCATACAAAATGGTTGCGTTGAGAATGTCCCACACCAAGCACATTTTGTCGTAAGCATAGACGCAATATTACGAATGAACGGTGATTCAAAGATGAGCGCACCGAGGCGAATAGTTTGGCGGTGCTTTGATTGGTATGGTTGCACCCGCAACCCACCGGTGTCCCGTTAAAACACGGGGATATCGGTAGAATGCGCTTAAACCCCAGTGTGCCCTGACTCTGACAATTATCAACTAACTTGGATTTCCGGTCGAGCGCCGTTTTTTGTCGTCAAAATATAGCTATACATTTTGCACCTACACATTGAAAGTGGGGCATATTCTCTCATTTGAAGAACCAGTCAAAATCGAACTTATCAGCAATACTTCCGGGGGTACTTTTATCGCCATGGCATTTATGCACGACAGTAGTTCTGAAAGAACCACGTGCAACGAGACATTTTTTGATACTAGCTAAGAATCACGTGCAATATAACAACCGCGGAGGCACACGTGAAGCAAGTCGATCAGATAGATAAACAATGATCTGGACGTGTGACTACCGACCAGCAAATGCGCTCACAATTTGACAAGAACACCTCAACCACTGACAGCAATGATCCCCTTCAAGTTCCCACACTAAAATGGAACATGAAGTGGCATGTGTTTTAGGTAAAAAATAACAGCACAACGAACTCGTTTTACTTGTTCTGTGCCACTGTACTGAGGGTCGCTCATATCGCACCGTATCAACTCAAGATTATTGGATTTCAATTTCATTCATGTGTAGCGAATAGAGGAATAACTGCTGAGCTAGCTACTATGTAGCTCTGGAGCAGCCACCTCCAAAGAATCAATCGAACAAAGTTATAAATCACCGTCAGGGATTTTCCCTGTTGAAATCAGCTGATTCCCCTCCTTCCGTCAAATTGTATCATTCTGTCGACAAAACCTGTCTTTAGAATATCACAGAGTTCATTCTAAACCCCGAAGTCTCTCAAGGTTGTCTATGGTCACCGGTGTGCCACATAGGGGGCNGGGGCCAGTGTATTGTCGCATAGTTCGAACCCTTACACCGTTGTTTGGCACTCCCATCAGTGACGCTTGCCTTCATGAAAAGTGACTGAACCGCCTAGTTCTGAAACTAAGGATATATGCTCAGAAGAAAAAGGTATCTGTCAAAATTCCATTTGTATTGAATATCTGGAACCCATTCATCGCGTAAAAACGTTCTCCTCTCTCTCTCTCTCTCTCTCTCTCTATATATATATATATATATATATATATATATATATATATAGTCATTTCACATATCTGATTCGACTTGACGGTTAGCAGAGATCTGCTCTATAATGGTGCATAAGGAGACTAAGCCTTTAATAGGCATGCGATCCATAGCAGCCGAATCAGTCCCGTAGTTCAATTTGCATCAATCTCGCCTTACTCTGTTAAGCTTCAGCTGTCATTATCCGAGTGACCTTTTCAGTCGATTCGAACAAACTGAGGAAACGGCTGCAGGAAAGCGATATTATGTGCGGTCGCAGATGCATCGAAATCCAAATTGGAAAAAAAACCCACGGATGTGATTGGGGAAGACCGATGCAGCAACATAACTGATGCGCAGACGTTGCTACAGAACATCGGGATCGACTTTCAACTGGGGCATTCAGTTCCGGTGAAATATTGCAGAAAAATGGTCCGGTAAACAAATTTCGTCGGTTCAGTAATACAGTTTATGTGCAGCCTCAAACCATCGGCTCACGGAAGAGATTCTTTCGGAAAAATACCCACGGGGTTTCGCGGAGAAGCACAATACTATTTATGTACATTGAATGATATTTATACAAAACATAAAAAGAATAAGAATGATTAGAATACAAATTTGTACAAATTAACCGGGACGCTATTTGCCTTTGACTGACAACTTCATCAGTTTCGGCTGATAGGATGAGGTGGACGCAGCCGGTGGAGCTTTTCTGAAAGGGAGAAAAACACCAAGAAATCCGGATCAGTCGACATGTAATGGTTAGAACAACTGAGTGATGAAATTAGAAGTGGTTTATTCGACCGGATGTAACACTCAAGACCTTTAGTCGATTAGTTTCGATGATCCGAACCGCTGAGCTCAGTACTCAACAGCATGAGTTATTTCACTCAATATCGAGAATTGCAAATGTTCCCAAGATTTGAACCCTGTCATAGTTGCTTTTTTAAGTGGAGAACAGTTCGCTGTCGGCAAGGGAAACGCCTCGTCCATGTCACTTGTCATGAGAAATTTTAGGGCATTGGTTATCAGCCGTGATGACGAAAATCATTATCGATTTAAGGTAAGATCATGAGGAGCTGTTTTTTATCTTGACAAGGAAAACGGATTGCATAAAATGGAGTATCATTACCATTACATTTCAAACTAGAGAGTCGACTATGCGAAACATCTCTGTACAATAGCGTTTCCAAACTGAAAACGCGTCCACGGTTTGTTCATAGTGGAAAACAAATGGGCTGCCCATTTCACAACAGGTATGCTTTTCGTCAGAGAGTAGGCGTACTCCACGAAAACCGCTCTGCCCTGGAACAACCGATCCGAACAAGGTTAAGTCAGCTTAGATGATCGATCAGTACCTAAAGTCAATCCAGATGATTGACAACGATCCCGTTATATCCAGTCGTTATACACACATTTCCTGCTCAATAGACAAGCTTGTTTTTCGTACAATAAATAAATTCCTACACTCTTCCAGGTGTGTTTTGTTTCACTGACTGTGGAGTCGCAATCAAGACGAGAAATGTTATCGGAAAACAAACACTTAGGAATTCAGTATTGAGACAAAACTCGTACGGCTATAAAAATAATCTTTCTGGATTCACAACCGGAGCCTTTGACTAGCCACCTACTGACACGCAATGCAGTGGGGTAATGTGCGACAACCGTGGTCCTTGTGATGTGGGTCATCAAGTCAAACACCTTCTAGACAAGGTCAAACGTCCAACATGCCCATCAAACCGGTGACAGCTGTGTGGTTCGTCCGTTGCTGCGTAGTTCATTTGGAATTAGGATTTCTTACCAACTATTACTATATATATATATATATATATATAT